GGGCACAGGGCAGTGCTGGGTACCCAGGGCACAGAACAGCTCTGGGCACCAGCAGCAGGGTCCCTGTGTCCCTGTGACCTCCCCAGGGCAGCGATGGCCCCTCAGGCCCCACAGCAGAGCAGGTCAGCACACTGAGCAGGTCACCACGGCCCGGCCAGAGCTGTCTGCAGCCTGTGTCCATCACAGCCTGGGGAGGCTCCTCTGGCACAGCTGGGCTGTGGAACCACACCTGCATTATTTTATTCATTCTCAACAGGACAGGTCCTTAACACACCTTGCTGGGCTTTAGGGTTTCCTTTCCTTTTTCTCTCCTTATTCCCTTGAGTGTCTCAGGGTGACACCACCTCGTGCTGTGCCCGAGCAGATCGGACACCCTGGAAATGTCCTGGGTGGGAGGAGTGCCCTGCTATGGGGAAGTGTCCTGCTATGGGGCTCTTCTGTCAGCAGGGGCAGCTCCCCTTCCCTCCCAGCCCCTTTCAGGGCAGCTCTGCTCCTCCCCCTGCCAGCCCGGAGTGTGCCAGCCCGGGGTGTGAAACCTGAGCTGTGCCCCTGCCCCTGCCAGCCCGGAGTGTGCCAGCCCTGGGCAGTGAAACCTGAGCCTCTGGAAGGCTCCGCAGGGCTGAGAGCAGGGCTCACTTTGTGCCCAGCCCGGCCTGGGCAGTGCTGCCATCCCGAGAGCATCGCCAAGGGCACCCCTGGTACCAAGGTCATCCTCGGTACTGAGGGAATCCCTGGTGCCGAGGCCGCCCCATGATACCAAGGTCATCCCATGGTACCAAGGTCACCCTGGGGTAGCGAGGTCACTCCGTAGCACTGAGGGCACCCCTGGTACCAAGGGCACCCCGTGGTACCAAGGTCACCCGTGGTACTGGGGTCAGCCCATGGTACTAAGGGCACCCCTGGTACCAAGGGCACCCCGTGGTACCAAATTCACCCGTGCCCAGCCAGCGGTGCCAGGAGGATGCTCAGCTCTGGCAGAGGCCGCAGCAGCCCCAGTGCAGCATCGCAGCATCCCCTGAACTGCCAGAGCAGCATCCCTGGGGCTGCTGGAGCATCACCCCCAGCTCTG